TACTAGCCGGGCTTGTCACGGCAGCAGAATCGGACGTTGGCTCCCTGATGGGGCAGCTGGAGGCAGGAAGCTGTCAAGAAGCTCGGTTCCTGTTTCCGAGCAGCCCAAACCGAAGTCGCCTTGTCAAGGAAGCCTCGAGCGACAGCATCCAGCATGAGGTGGGGATCCCAAAGCTTTATATGCTTGGCACAGAATTGAGAGCCGCAGACTTCCGTCAGGCTGTGGAGAGCGAGCACACCGACGATGCGAACGTCGAAACAGTGGCACGCGTGCTGGCCGGGCTCGTCACATCGGCAGAGTCGGACGTTGGCTCTCAGGAGGCCGTCTTGAGCTTCGATTTGTTGTCTCCCAGTGGTCCGAGACGTCCTGTTGTGAAGGAGGCAGCAAGCGACAGCATCCAGCATGAGGTGGGGCAGACAACTTTTCTTCAGTTGGTTCGCATTCTAGACAAGCAGATTTCCGTGAGGCTGTGGAGAGCGAGCATACCGACGATGCAAATGTCCACGCAGTGGCATGTGTACTAGCCGGGCTTCTCACAGCAGCAGAGCCGCACATTGGCTCCCCCATGGAGCTGTCCTGAGCTTCTTTGTTTATTTGCTCATCCGAATGCACCCAAACATAGTTGCCTTGCCAAGGAAGGAGGAGGGCGAGACAGCATCCAGCATGAGGTCGGAAAATCAACATGTCTTCAGAACTGCATGTTGCTGGTGCAGGCATGCAGACTTTCGCCAGGCCGTCGAGAGCGAGCACACCGACGATGCAAATGTGCAAACGGTGGCACGCGTGTTGGCCGGTCTCGTCACCGCAGCGGAGCGAGATGTTGGCTCGCTGGTACATGCGGAGGCAGGAAGCTGTCCTGAAGTTCTGTTTTTTTGCCGAAAGCTTCGCGATGAAGCTGAAGGAGGCCACCAGCGACAGCCTCCAGCATGAGCTGGGGAAAAGCAATGCCTCCCGACTCCAAAGTTTGGTTTGTTCTTTTTTCTTTTGCTTGGCTTCCAGCTTTTGGTATAGCTTCTCTCTGAAGGATTTATGTATCATGAATCATGATGTTGCATGGGCTGTCGGCGCGTGTCAGGAGCCGGTTTGTGGTGTTCCACCGTTTTCGGCGGCTTTGGAAGCCGGAAATCCCCTAACTTTTGCCCAAGTTGCCTCCATGGCTTGTGCTGTCTTGTCTCTGGTTGCTGCGGTCGGAGTGCGGAGATGGACCAGCCAGTCATGGGATAGAGTGTTGACTAGCCAGCCCGTGTCACCGACAGCTATGATGAGCAATCAAAGGTGTTCCCTCAGCTTGAGACTGTGATCAGGGTCTATGTATGTGTGGCCGTATGCGAAGCGGTCCCGCAAGCTTGGCTGACCTTCTTTAAAGTATTACGTCCCGCAAAGAAACAACCGAGACTTCCGGTAGGCCGCTGCGAGCGAGCGAGCCGACGTGGCGCGCGTAGTGGCCGGGCTCGTCACGGCAGCAGAGTCGGACGTTGGCTCGCTGGTGCATGTGGAGGCTGAAAGCTGTCGTGAACTTGGTGTGTTTTTTCGAAAACGAAGTTGCATCGTCAAGGAAGCCGCCCGCGACAGCATCCAGCATGAGGTCGGAAAGTCAACATGTCTTCAGAACTGCATGTTGCTGCGGTCGGAGTGCGGAGATGGACCAGCCAGTCATGGGATAGAGTGTTGACTAGCCAGCCCGTGTCACCGACAGCTATGATGAGCAATCAAAGGTGTTCCCTCAGCTTGAGACTGTGATCAGGGTCTATGTATGTGTGGCCGTATGCGAAGCGGTCCCGCAAGCTTGGCTGACCTTCTTTAAAGTATTACGTCCCGCAAAGAAACAACCGAGACTTCCGGTAGGCCGCTGCGAGCGAGCGAGCCGACGTGGCGCGCGTAGTGGCCGGGCTCGTCACGGCAGCAGAGTCGGACGTTGGCTCGCTGGTGCATGTGGAGGCTGAAAGCTGTCGTGAACTTGGTGTGTTTTTTCGAAAACGAAGTTGCATCGTCAAGGAAGCCGCCCGCGACAGCATCCAGCATGAGGTCGGAAAGTCAACATGCCTTCAGAACTGCATGTTGCTGGTGCAGGCATGCAGACTTTCGCCAGGCCGTCGAGAGCGAGCACACCGACGATGCAAATGTGCAAACGGTGGCACGCGTGTTGGCCGGTCTCGTCACCGCAGCGGAGCGAGATGTTGGCTCGCTGGTACATGCGGAGGCAGGAAGCTGTCCTGAAGTTCTGTTTTTTTGCCGAAAGCTTCGCGATGAAGCTGAAGGAGGCCACCAGCGACAGCCTCCAGCATGAGCTGGGGAAAAGCAATGCCTCCCGACTCCAAAGTTTGGTTTGTTCTTTTTTCTTTTGCTTGGCTTCCAGCTTTTGGTATAGCTTCTCTCTCTGGAGGATTTGTGTATCATGATGTTGCATGGGCTGTCGGCGCGTGTCAGGAGCCGGAGTGCTGAGCTGTGGTGAACCGGTGTCAGCAGCAAAGAAACTCACCATGAATCCCCTAACTTTTACCCAAGTTGCCTCCATGGCTTGTGCTGTCTTGTCTCGGGTTGCTGCCTTGCGGTCGGAGCGCGGAGATGGACCAGCCAGTCATGGGATAGAGTGTTGACTAGCCAGCCCGTGTCACCGACAGCTATGATGAGCAATCAAAGGTGTTCCCGTATGTCAATGTTTGTGTAGCTGTATGCGAAGTGGTCCCGCAAGCTTGGCTGACCTTCTTCGGAGTATTACGACAGCAAGCTGCAGGAGGAGAAGGTCCCGCAGAGAAGCAACCGAGACTTCCGTCAGGCCGCTGCGAGCGAGCGAGCCGACGTGGCGCGCGTAGTGGCCGGGCTCGTCACGGCAGCAGAGTCGGACGTTGGCTCGCTGGTGCATGTGGAGGCTGGAAGCTGTTGTGAAATTTGTGTGTTTTTCGAAAACGAAGTTGCAGCGTCAAGGAAGCCGCCCGCGACAGCATCCAGCATGAGGTCGGAAAGTCAACATGTCTTCAAAGTTTGGTAGTTTGGGTGATTTTGGAGGCATACCTAGACCTCCATCAGGCCGTCGAGAGCGAGCACACCGACGATGCCAACGTCCAAACCGTGGCACGTGTATTGGCCGGGCTTGTCATGGTGGCAGAATCGAAGGCTGGCCCCGAATAGGGCAGATAGTAGAGGGACTGTGTGTGCGGTTCTGCCGTTCTTTCTGTAGCTGTCCTTCCCAGGCCGCAGACGAGTCGGCGCCGCGAAGGATATCCGAGCAGGTCACAAGCGACTGTCTTTCAGCTTTGGGAAGTGGGAGTCGTGGCTGAAAAGATCGACAGCCAAGCATCCCCCGGATCAGGAGGAGGAACCTGTGGAGCGCTCCGGAAACACAGAGGCCAGGCTCGTGCTTCCTTCGGAGTTCATGGCCTTGGCACGCCGTGACAAACCCCGACTGCTGCTGTCATCTCTCTAATCGTAGCATGCAGCTGCAGCTGAGCTGCGTCGTAGTTGACAGCGAGAGTCTGAGAGGGACGTAGACTGCAAGACCAATGAAGCGACACTTCATCAATATCTTGAGTGCCTAGAACTTAAGAGGATGTCGATGTGTTGCATGTCGTCGTTCTCCATCGATGTTCGCACATCTCGTGATCTTGCATGTGCACGTGTAGTATAGTCAGCATGGCCCGGTCAAGCCCTAAAAAAAAACCCTGAGCCCCCGGTGGGGAAAAAACCCTAAACCCCTAAGCCCAAAGCCGCTCCCAAAGAGGACCTCAAGGCTTGGAGCAGCTTCGATGAGCAGAGCGCCGTCGCAGAGGTTTTGGATGCCGTGGAGGCCTGCGGTCTTCGGCGTTGCCTACATCTGCATATGTCTACATGCTTATTCATGTATGTGTATGTATGTAACTGTATGTATGTACTTATGTGTGTGTCTGTGTATGTGCGAGGAATCAGTGATGTGAGTTTGCGCTCGCTTCTGGCGAAATATTTGTTTTACTTGCCTGCTCTGACCCAGTCATCTGCTGTTGCCGCACTTCCGCCCCCTCTGCTCGGATTTGGGGTCTGGAATGGTAGATTCTTGTTGCCGCTGAGTACTCGGTTTGCACCGGGCTCGCTGACCTTCCGTGAGCTGAATCCAGGCGATGGCGGACGAAGCGGCAGCTTCCGGACGTTAGAGAGAAGCTAGTTCTGAAAGAACTGTCACAGCTGAGGAGGTGGATGGCATTTCAATGAGGTTTTCCGACCTGTTTACTCCAAACGAGAATCTTAAGACTAAGATACGGCCCAAACCAAAATACTGTTATATAATCTTGAGCAGTCTGTAATTCGCCGCCGTGCATGACAGGCCGTGTACAGGATTTCCTTCGGCTTCTGGGGCGCAGTGTGTCAGCTTAGCTGGAGGCATTTCTCCCAAAGGGTCCCACGGACCTCTATAGTAGAATGTAGGGTCTATATATTAGGAGTTACTATTATGATCAAAAAGGTACCTAGGACCCTTTGGGTCTGTGGCGTGGTCTGCGGGACCTGGGCCTCATGGTCACGACGTGTAGATAGTCAGACACAGGTACACGCTCGCAGTTTTGCGCTTTGTATGTTTGTTTGGTAACTGAATATAGCGCAACGCAAACGGACCCGTGCGCCCAGGGCTAGCACACACAGCCAATGATAGAGCTTTGTATTCGGCAAGATGGGGACAAGATAGACAGTGCGCTACAAACGGTCGTCTGAAACAAAGACCAGCTTGTCCATGTTGTTAGCGACATCATTCCCGAGATCGTGGCAGGCCCAGATCTCAGGCAGTAAGCTTCAAAGAAGCTCAAGTGCCAGGTAGAGGCGGGCAAGACGTGGTCGCGCAGATGACTTGCGCGCTGCAGAGACAAGCTGCCCAACATGAAGCCCTGACCCGCTTTGCAATTTGAGGTGCTCATCCTCCGCGATGGTCGGATGCCTTCTTGCGTTGGACCGGCATGAGACAATCCCGTGGCAAAAAAAGCTAAGAAATTTTGTGAGACCCGTAGCCACCAGCCATAGCCGCCATAGCCGCCATAGCCATGATCGTCGGATTCCTCGTGCTTGGTGCTTCGGTCCTGGCTGGGGCCACCTCTCCCGACAAGGCAGCGCAGCTCTCGGAAGCCGTGGCGCTGGATGCGTGCCCTGAGGGGACGTGTGCCTTGCACGCGCTCCAGCAGAACAGCACGGCCCTCCCGGGCAACACTACGAAGGAGAAGAACAAGGTGAACCCGGACAGCGTTACGAAGGAGGAGGAGCACGAGGACGGTGACTCCATCGATCCGGAGGGCGACCTGCTTGGTGCCGAGAACTTTGCCGCGGTCAAAGTGGCTGCCGGTTGGTCCCAGGGTGGAGACAAAGTTTGGGGCAGTGGCAGAGGCATCGAAGACGTCAACGGTGGCAACGTCGGCTACTACAACAACGGCATGGACGCAGCTCACGCGCGTTGCGGCGGCAGCCACTGTGCCCTGATCGTGAACCCGCCGGGTCACCGCAGCATCAACCAGTTCCACATCCACTTCGTCTCCTACGCAGGTTATGGATCTAGCCTCAAACACAAGCTCGAGAAGAGGGTCTGTGGCAAAAGCGGATGGCGCAGCGGAGGCCTGCCATGCCATGGCAAGGCTATCTTTGTCAACGGTTGGCCGAATGTCTTCTCGGTAGCCATGGGTGGAGGCGGCATGAGGCATGCAAGTGTGATCGCTTGGCCCAGCTCCTGCGGTCACAAGGGTACGATTATCGAGTTGGCCTATGGCTGCAGCATAGAGCATCAGATTCGTGGAGACTACAACCCAGCCTATCGTTAGGCCAGGTGAAGCCAACTGCGATGAGATCAGGTGGCCGGCCTCTTTTCCAAGGCCAGTCTTAAGCACTGGCACCGAATTCATCTCGGGGGCTTTAATCTCTTTTTGCTCGGGCACTGTATTTGATGCAAGATTCTGGCTGCGCTACAAACGTAAAGCCTCGCCTTCGAGCAGAGTTTTGTTCATGTGCCGGCGTTTAATCCTTATACTGTTCCGATGAAGTGACCGACTGAGAGAAAGGATAGCGATGGAGAAGTCCAGCGACAATTTGTCCGACAATCTCAGTTGCAGAGCAGAGCGAGTGCTCGGTTTGATTGAAGTTACTAAGTTACTGATATTGATATGGTTGCTCTTTGCTAGAAGAGATTGCGCAGCTGCAGAGTGAGGGACCGGATGAGGCAGCGGCAGCGACGGCTCGCCTGGATTGGCTTCGTTACTCAGTTTATCGGTCCCTAGTCCATGATTCAGGATTGATTGCTTGCAAGACGAGGCAGCCGGACAGTTCTAGGGCCAGGAACCTCTTCTGGCCGAGTTCGGGTGTGAGAGCGCAACCACATCCCTTTCCAAAGGAATTTCAAGAAAAAGCGCCAGCACCATTTTGGGGTCCTTATAATGAGAACCCTACTATTTAGGGTACCATATTAGGACTCTCTCTCTCTCTCTCTCTCTTTTGCTCATGGCGCCTGGACCCTCTCGCACTCGGCTGCGCTGCTGCGGCACGGCGAGGCCCGGGGCACTGTCTCAAGCGCTGGGGAGTGTCAGAGCGTCGGTGGTGTAGAAGACTTTCCGCCAGCTTGAAGGTCTTCGGGCGTTCCTGTATGATGAAGATGCTAGTGCGTATCGCTGGATTTTCGGGTCCCAAATTTCTGCAACTCTGCGTCCCGTGCTCTGGGTCCGAGCAAGCGACTCTGCGTCTTGGTGGCAGCATTGCTGCTCAGGCAGGCCCACTCCCATTTCGAGACACACGGGCCTGTACACATGGAACGTCTAGCCATAAGAGTATAAGGCCTAAGGCTTAGACTCGTGCAACCCGAACCGTGCGGTCAGAGCACGTGCTGTCAGGAAACACAAGACCATATGTACATGTGCAGGACGCCTTTGCATCAAGATGCAAGCCAGTGGGTAGCATACAGCTTCATCCTTCATGGTGCGCCCTGTAGACGTCCTAGTGGCCGTATAGCCATGGGCAGCCATCGGAGCAGCATGCGCTCGGGCGATGTTTGCTCACGCCGGTGAGCGGATCGGAGACTACGAGGTCAAGCAACTTCTTGGTCGCGGTAGCTTTGGTGTTGTGTTGCTCGGCTGTGGGTGGACAGATCTGAATGACCGGTTACCGTAAGCCGAGCGCTTCATGCTGCCCTTTTGCAGAGCTCGCTACTGCCCCATCAGCTCTTCAGCAAAACTGCATGGAAGCCACACCCGAGGCTTCTTGTTCAGACCGCTGCCCTGCAGCAGACACTTGGCTTTTCTCTTGGAAACCCGGGTCGCAGGAACCTAAAACCTGGATGATTAATGCGGTCTTTGAGACCTTTCGCACAGCCCCATACTTCAATACCTGGTCGTGATCTTTCAGCTGTGAACTGAAATCAATGCTCGAGTGTTTGGTTTGTGATCTTTCTGTTTTCCTCTAGAGCCTCCAGCCTCCGGGCCCGAACTCTCCGTGGACTAGGCGCGGCGACCGAAATCACGCGCAGTAATGTCTTGGACCTTTTCCATGCCGCCCACATGAGTTTCTCTTCCGCCTCGGTCTCTGTGAAGCTCGTGGGCGGGATTCCATCTACGAACGTCATCCGAACTGTCACCACACTGTCACAGTCTGACGGCTAAGGCTTAAGTAAATCCCAACCCAAGCGTGAGACCTCATCTGGCTTCCCCGAGTTGCGAGCCCATAAACCCTATGCTTGTAAAACAGTTTGGGGGAAGCCCTAAATTGTCGCCCAGGTTTGCATTGAAGCTGGTGCCTTGTGACCACCTGGACGACGATGAGGCGGCCAAAGCAGCCGACACGACGTTGGCCGAGGCCGCTTCCATCACCCTTCGCAATGCTGTAGCCAGTCTTACAAAGTAAGTATTACGGGGTGCGGCAGGCCCTACCACAAGAAAAAATCCCTAAGCCCTTCATCTCAGCATGAACTAGGAGTAATGTTCGAAAATAATAGTGGTAACAACAGGAACAGTAAGACTAGAAGTGCTAGAAGCAGTAGTAGTACTATTTCAAGCAGAAAAAAGTAACAAAAATAAAATTGACGACATTGACCGAAAACGTAACAGTATCAGTAGTAATGAGTACCGTAATACTGATAGCGATGGTTTAGTAATGATTTAGAAGTGACGGTACTGGTATGTAGTGATAGTAACAATACCAAGAATAGTAAGTACGTTACTGGTAGCCACTGCTTATCCTTCTGAGTGACATTTCAGCCTTTCGCGGTCAATGTCCTACAAGGTCAACTAAGCCGTGGACAGAATTGAGAACCAAGGTGCTAAAACAAGTTTGAATTGTCGTGGGCAGAAAGGACAGTGCACTGTGGAGCACAGCACAAGATGTCATTGGCAAGCGTGCAAAAAGCATGCTCAATACATGGTGCTGCATGAAATACGCTGCTTTGACTCGCGTCTTTCAAGACATGCAGTGATCTCAGAACAGTGTTTGCCTAAGGGAAGGTACATATGTTCATGGCTATGAAAGCTGTCGTTGGACGCTGCTTTAAAAAGCCCAGTTGGGGCCCATGCAGGATGGCAAGTCATACCTGAGAATATGTAAACGAAAGTGTGTTCGTGTCGTCATGCATGATATGCGGTTGCTAGGTTTAGTTATTGCCCAAGGTTGATGTGTGCGCAGTCTGGTGTTGGCCTTCCACGATTCTGCCGAACTCTCAATGCACGCAGGGTTACGGAAATAGAACAAGGAGACAGGACAATGGTTTCGTTCCGTTTCGGCTGATCGCAGGCTCAGCTGATGCAGCGTCTTCGACATCCCCACATTGTCACATGCCATGATGTGCAGCCCCTGGACGGCATCTAACTGAATCTCACCCCAGTTTGGAAACAGGCAACCCAAAACCAGACTTCCCGCCACCTGTCTGTATTGCAAGAACCCTAAACCCTTTTAAACCCTAAAGCCCTAAACCACTTGTAAACATGTCCTAGAGCTGGGTGGCTCGAAGCTTATCAAAAGCTCCCGTTCGCCCACGCTTGACCATACCAAGTGTCCGAGCAGAAAGGAACTGTTTGTATTTTCGTATGATGCAAGAAGTGCCTGGTATCGGGAGAATCCCCGTCATGCAGGTCTCCAACCGATTCTAATCCGTCACTGATAGATTCTAATGATAACTCGACCCAAGATCTGTATAGTTCAACTCCCCAAGACCTAGTTAAACTCTAAACAGCTCTCAGTAACTCAGTACATCAGGATGGCCATGAATTTAGAACTCAAACGTCTCCATCCCCAGCTCAAACCCGACCCTAAACCCTGAACCCCACACTCAAAATTCGAGAGGCTCAGCCCCTAAACCCGAAACTAAACCCTAAACTTCCCTAAACCCCGGAGGTTCGACCCACCTCGGAAGTGTGTGTGGCTGGCCCTGGAGTTCATGGATGGCGGCGCCTGGAATCGACTCGGAGGGCTTTGCTTCGACGGGGGCTTTGAAGGGCTTCGAGGGTTTAGGGTTTGTAGGGTTTTCAAGGGCTTTGAGGGTTTAGGGAACGGGGTTGAGGGTTTGGACTTGTTTTGGGTGACGGCGCCTGTACGCGCCTATGCGTTTTTGCAGGTTTCAGGGTATTGGGGTGGGGGGTGTGGGGGTGAGGGTGGGGGGGGGATGGGGAGGGGGGGGATAAGAACGTCATTCATATTGCGCCCATGCGCAAAACACCGGTATTTGTAGCGTTTTCGCCTCTTTGTACAACCAAACATAAACCCAATCCTTAACCCTAAGTCTAACCTAAGACCTAGGACAAGTCAATACTTTAAGCAGAAACTCTCTCTCAAATAAAGTTTTGTTCTGCAGCCTCTTCAAAAATGAGCTTAAGACCCGAGCGAAAACGCAGTTGGGCCCAAAGTTTACTCCAGCCTCTAGTGTTTCGCGTACCTGCCTGAACCATAATTTTCTGTGACATTGCGCTCTCGCTGTGGTTTCGCGCGCATCCATGCAAAACGCCTCATTCTGAAATCGCTAAAAACGCATAGGCGCGTACAGGCGCTGTCACCTTGTTTTGGCAGTTTGGCGTTTTGGACTTTTTAGGGTCTGGGTTGACGCTTTTGTTCTTTGCTAAGGATTTGGGTTTATTCATGGTTTTGGGTTACTTGGGGGCTCTAGGGTTTAGGATTTAGGGTGTTTAGTTCTTTTTTGGCTTTAGGTTAGAGTTTAGCTTTCTTTGTAGGGTCTGGGGGTTTCAGCGCCGAGAGTGCAGGGTTGATGGTTCCGGGTTTGAGTTCCAGGGTTTCGCGCAGCCTAGGTTCGTGGCCCAAGATACGTCCGCACAGAACGAGGGAACGAGCGCCTGAATAGGGCAGCCCTGGCCATTTCAAGCTCCAAGGAGCAGTCCTCCAATCCTGATCCCAGGCGATCTGGGCAACCGGATCAAAGCGCGACGCCAGGGAGGCCAGGCTCCTTTCGAGGGGCCTTTCCTGCAGCATCTTCGGCTGCAGCAGGGGCGGAACGGAATGTATCCTCACCTAACAACCCGACCCCCCCTCCTCCCGCTGCATTTTTGCAGAATGCCAGCGATGAAAGTCTGGACAAGAGGCAGACATGAACAGCTGTAATCTGACAACTGCTTTGGTGATGTGTACTCCGGCCGCTCAGGATCCGAACCCGAGGTTGGGAAACCAGTGGGATGCGCACGACCATAAACTTGGGCAAGCCAAGCAAGACCGTTATAGGGAAGGCTTTCGCAGCCATTGTGTTTCTCAATCTCAGCATTTTGCAGAGTAGCCTGACGCGTACCATCAGTCTTCATGCGGCTGCCCGGACATGATCTGCATGTTTTCGAGCGGGACCTCC